CAGTGGTTTTTGTTGGATTTGAGTTAATGGGATTTGTATGCACTGCTACTTTTTCATTAGTCTACTATGAAGTCTGCAGGGTTTCAGTTGACACTTGAAACTTGAAAGACAATTGCTTTTCTCAATACTAAGTTGGCGGGTATGGGGCGGGGAATTGGCGGGGATGGGGCGGGGGTTTGGCGGGTATGGGGCGGGGACGGGGATGGGGCGGGGGTGGTTTTAGAGTTGGACCCGCCGGGGCGGGGACGGGGATTATTTTCAGACCCGACATGGGGATGGGGATGGGGATGGGGATGAAAATGTGAGGCGGGGATGGGGATGGGAATGCCAAAATCCGCCCCGCCCCGCCCCGTTGACACCCCTAGTTAGGGGTTGTAGTGGTGGTGGGTTGTGGGTAGTTGTGGGTTAAGGGGGTTTCGTGGGTGGGGATATGGGTTAGGGGGGTTTCGCTGGTGGATATGGGTGGGTTACGGTGGTGGGGTGGGTATGAGTGGGCTGGTGGGGGGTTTCGCTGGGTGGGTGGGTGTGGGCTGGTGGTGGGGGTGGGGGCTTTTTGGTGGTTTCAGTGGGGTGGGTTTTTGGTAGGGGTGGTTTCGGGGGTTGTGTTTTTGGTAGGGGTGGTTTCGGGGGGGATGGGTTTTTGGTAGGGGTGGTTTCAGTGGTGGTGGGGTGTGGTGGGGTGGGTGTGGTGTGGGTGGGGTTTTGGTAGGGGTGGCTAATGGGGTTACGGTGGTGGGGTGGGGCTGGTTTTTTTTTTATTGACTTTTCCGTCGGAAAATTCCTGTTCCGACGGAATTTTCCTTCGAAGGTTAACTGTTCCGACGAATTATTCCGAGGAAAAATCCGTCGGAAATTTGCGACGGACTGACATTGAAAGTCAAATCCTCCTACGACCGCAATAAGTCCGTCGGAAAAGTGTTTTCGACGGAATTTCCCTCGGAAAACCCTAATTTTCCGACGAAGGGTTTTCCGGCGGTACCTTTCCGACGGATTTTTCGCTAATTCTGACGGAAAAATCCCGTCGGAAATCAGCTGTTTTCTTGTAGTGTGTGCTCAAAACTTTCTTTCAAATGCATGTTTACTCGCCCAGCTTTTCTCTGATCATCGCAACCAAAGTGATTATGATCAATATCTTCCAGCAATGGAAATAAAGTGGTGTAAATATTATATTGAAATTCCTTTAATTTATATTTTTGCTTCCATATTAGATCCTAAGCAAAAGTATGAAAACACATTTATGTTAGTTGACATTTATTTTCAATGCATGCTTATTGACGATAGTGTAGAAACCTATAAGAGTAATATGAAGGATCAATTTTTTGCTTTATATAGAGTTTATGAAACCAAATATGGCACCGTTCCTTGCTCTGGCCCTTCCCAACCATCCAAAAACATAAGTAAAAAGGCCAAGCATTTATTTCCACAAGCAACTAACTTGATTTCAAGGTTTTCAGGTGATTCATCAATAAGGAGAACGCAAAGCGATGTCTCGGAGTTGCAAATGTGTCTGAGTTACTACTTCACCAAGGGCATGGACGACGATGAGATAAACAGCCTCGACCTCCTTGTATGGTGGAAACAACAAAGCTCGAAGCATCCAACTTTGGCGGCAATGGCACGAGATATTCTTGTTATCCAAGTCTCCTCCGTTGCCTCCGAACGAGCTTTCAGCGCATCCGGGAGGGTTTTAGACGATAGAAGAACAAGTCTAAAACCCGAAACACTTGAAATGTGCGTGTGTTTCAAAGATTGGTTGGATGCTGAAAATCACTCACAAGACCGTACTTACGCCGACAACGACAACGATGACGGAACCTCCGCTTTCGACCGTTCGGGTTCGGCTAGTTCCCAATCTATTTAACTAGCCGATGACCTTGAACGCGAAGACGAAGAAGAAGAAGAAGATGATGAAGAAGAATAGATGAAGAACTATAAATAGATTACATACTTCTAATTATAGATAATTTTTGTATAATATCCTTGTACGAAATCATTATCATTGTACGATTTTTATCATTATTACTTATTAGGTTAATATCAAACATTTATACTTGTTTTTTTTTTTTGAAATTTATATCTTCCAACATTAAGAAGTATGTATTTATTTGTAATATTTCAAGTAATAATAATATGAAGTATGCATTAATCACATTCAAAGAATCAAAGTCCAATTTCTTCTTTTTTTTAGCCGTTAAGATTTGAAATTTTTTTCTTCGCCGTTAAGAAAATTAAAAGTAATATAAACAAAATAAGTTAATAACTAATTAACTATAATAAACAAAAAGTATAATACATTATAACTATAATTAACTATAATAAATATAAATTATAATAATAACAAGTATAATAATAAAATAATAAATTATAATAACAAGTATAATAAATAAATAAATTATAATATTAATAAGTAATAACAAGTATAATAATTAACTTAATTATAAATTATAATAATAACAAGTAATATTAATAAGTAATAACAAGTATAAAAATAATAAATTATAATAACAAGTATAATAATTAAATAAATATATTATAATAATAACAAGTATAATAATAAAACAATAATAAACTTAATTAATTAATTTATAATAATAAGAAGTAAACTTAATTAGTTAATTATAAAAAAATAATATATTGGTTTTAAAAAAAAAAAAAAACTGAAGAACGCGCCAGGTACGTGGGCTGGCCCGACATGGCACACCTGGTACGTAGGTCGTGCTGTGCCGTGGGCTGGCCTGGTGGAAATGGAGGCACGGCACACCGACACCATGCTGACGTGTCGGCACTGCACGGCCCGACCTGCTGCCCACCTTTAGTATTTGTCCTTGTCCTTTATAAATAAAAATTATATATGTGCTTTGTAGTAATTTAAATGACATTTAATTAAGCAAGTTCATGACATAACAAATCACATAAATATAAACGAAATTTGGTCCCTATACATAAGCTTGAAGCTGCTTTCTTTAAAATCGTGGCATGGTACATACTATATCTAGTAGGTCAAAACAGGCTTAATTAACCCAAATTACGTGAGTTTAGCACAAGGCCCGATTGAGTGCCAACTTAATGTATGACGAATGATCTCTTACTGCAAGTAGAGCTGGAATTCGAGCCGTAGGAAGGGCCGTACCTTGCCGTGTCGGGCCTTCAAATTACACACCCTAACCCACGCCCCACGTGCTTGGCAGGCCGGACCGTGCCGGGTCGCGGCCATTAATAAATTAATTTTAATATTTATATAATTTATATTTATATTATTTATAATTCTTTATATTATTTTTATTATTAATTTATTATATTTCTTTTTATTATTTACAGTTATTTTTTTTATTATTTTTATTATTATGGGTCGTGCTTGCGGACCGTGTCGCGGGCCAAAAGTTCGTGCCGCCTGTGGGCTCGTGCCGATTTTTTTTTTCACAACACGGCCCACGACCCACCCCTCGTTCCTCGTGTCGTGCCGAGCTGCTATCATGTCGTGCCGTGTCGCCCGCGGGGCGGCCCGGCCCATGCCTAGCTCTAACTACAAGGTGATAATCAATATCTTAGCTAGGGGTGTGCTAAAAATAGCCCTGACTTGAAACCAGATTGAAATTGGACCTAATAGGACCAGACTAGTGACTTTAGGTACGGTCTCCAGTGAAATAAGGCATTTAACACCGCAAATTCTTACTTACACTCTTGAGTAGCTAAGCTAGCTACACCACCTACATATAAATGAACATGTAGTAGTTCAAAAATGAACATACATTTTTTTTTCTTTCCTTATTTCTTAACTCCTTCTCTCTTCTCTTTTCTTACCTCTATTAATTTTCACTCTCCTTTGTTTTCTTCTCATTTTGAAACTTTCTCTCTCTTTTATTACCTCTATAAAAGATGAACATGTAAATACCCAACTTTCCTTCAATCATTATTCTTCTTTGTCCTTCTACTTCGAGCATTCTCCAATTCGTCACCATTGTAGCATCCTCCATCGTCATCATCTTCATCGCGATCGTGAATCGTGAGGTAATTTTGAATTTTATTTTTTTTGGTTTATAAATAAGTGAATGTTATAAAATTGTTGATTTCTATCAATTTTTGCATTTGTGATTCATAATCTATCATTTTATAGATTAATAATTATTTTCTCCATGATTAACCAATATAAGATTTAGGGTGGATATTTAAATTTTTAGATTTAAAATAATTACAATCAAATTTATGTATAATTCCGTAAAAAAAAATGAACACGTAGTACTTTAAAAATAAACATGTAATACAAAATGAACATTTAGTAAAATAAAAATGAACATTTAGTACAGAAAATATGAACATATTTTAACGATTTATTTTATCTTTATTTTCGGAAATTTGAACCTGTATGAATATATGAAAATCATGTTCATTTTTAATATACTAAATGTTCATAATTTTTATTTACATGTTCATTTTTTTACGTGTTCATTTTTTTAAAGTTCATATAATGGAATGTTCATTTTATTATGTATATGGTCTAGCTATTCTATGATTGTATGATAAATGTTCATTTTTTTTTACTTGTTCATTTTTTGTTACTAAATGTTCGTTTTTTTAACGTGTTCATAATATTTCTTTTACTTAATGTTCATATTTAAGATCGTGGTCTAGTAATTCTATGATTATATGATAATCATGCTCATTTTTAATATACTATATGATCATTTTTTTAAACGTATTCACTTTTTAATACTAAATTTTTATTTTTTTCTTGTTTATTTTTTATTACTAAATATACATTTTTTTTTTACGTGTTCATATTTTTTTAGTATATATTCATTTTATACGCCGTGGTGCATCTATCCTAGGACTTATTGACTTAACACGAGTGCAATAATGTTTACAGACCTCCAGATTCATATATGTTGAAGCTAATTTTAAGAGAGCCCATTTGAGCTCAATTGGGCCTAAATTGGATCAGTTTATCCAATATGACTATGAGCATATAAATAAAATAATAAAATATTGACATGAGTAATATGTGAGGGGTAAAAAGACTAATAACTACTCGTAATTACTAATGTAATCTTCTCTTTACGTTCATAAATAAATAAATAAATAAACACATTAGTACAAATTTTTGACAATCTAATTAACCTTTTTCTAAGTATTCTTATAAGTTGTGGGCGAGACGATCTCACACAAACTTATTGTGAGACATCAAAATTTTTTAGCAAAGAGAGTAATAATGTTACCTTAATTGTCTCACAATAAGTTTTGAGAGATCGTCTCAAACAAAGCATTAATAACAACCTCTTGCATTTTGGTGATTACTATAAAAACTAGGTGAAATAGTCAAAATTTACCAAAAAGAAAGATAAAGTCACCTCAATCTCACAATAAATTTTTGTGAGACCGTCTCATACAAGACTTTATCACCTTTCTACTTTGGTAAAGTACGACATAAACGGATCTATGCTATCTTTTTTGCATGCTCCAAGTTCTACACAATTTTCTCTCAACATTTAAACTACAATTTTTAACATTTATGTCTTCTGTATGGAGTATACCACTGTAAACTAACCATTACCTAGGGTCCATCTCTGTTGTGCTGGATGTTGCTGTAAACGCTGAGGCAGAGAGATCTATCCCAGAGTAATCATCAATTTCCGAATAAGCACCTGCTGCGAAGAAATGAGGCGCCGTAGGTCGTGGTAGAATGACAGAATCACCATTAAACGCAGCTACTATTGTAGCCATTCTTGGTCTTCTAGAGGCATCTTCTTGGATGCACAATAACCCAATGTGGATGCATTTTTCTGCTTCTTCCAATGATATATCATCTCCCATTCTCGAGTCTACCAATTTCATTGCAGACCCCTCATCCCAAAGCTTCCATGCCTGTAGTTATGATAATAGTAGCACGTTCAATACATAATACTCCATCAGTCCCAACATAATAGATCACTTCCAAAATATAGTAAGTTAAAAAACTAGCCAATACTACACTTATTTATAATACAAGCTACATTGGTGAGGTTGAGATAAACTTTAATGATAATGGATAATTATGATTTAGTAACGGAAGGAGTAGTTGCGAAAAGAAGTACTTACACGATCAAGTAGAGACTCTTCATTTCCGTTAAGTCTGAAGAAATTGTTCAACTGACCACTAACTATCTCCAAAACTAAGATCCCGAAACTGTATACATCTGATTTTGCTGAATAGTGACCAGCAATTACATATTCTGGTGCCATATATCCGCTGCATCACATTGTTAACTCTGTCAGACTTTCAGCTAATTGATTGCTTCTCGTGTTACAGCTACTGAAATATCAAGGATAATATGGAAACAAAGTTCCAGAAATTATATGGAAAAAGAGAACAAGCTACTTACAAAGTTCCTGCAATTCTACTAGTGTTTCTCTGGGTTTCATCTGCCTTAAAAAGTCTTGCCATACCAAAGTCTGAAATTTTTGGATTCATATCTTCGTCTAATAGTACATTACTAGCTTTAAGGTCCCGATGTATGATCTTGAGCCGGGAATCTTCATGAAGATAGAGTAACCCCCTTGCAATGCCTGATATAATCTTAAACCTTGTTTTCCAATCCAAAGATGCAGATTTTTTTGGGTCTGACAAGCAATATATATTAGCAGAAGGTAGATGGTGGTAAGAGAGGAAAAGCATATGACATTAGCTTTGATAAATACAGATCATTAGTGGAAATCATACCAGTTAAGAATCGGTCAAGACTTGAATTTGGCAAGTACTCGTACACAAGTAATGTCTCCTCTGTAGCAAGGCTATATCCAAGGAGTTTCACGAGATTTCGGTGTTGGAGCTCTGCAACTAGAAGCAGTTCTGTCTTAAACTCCGAAATGCCTTGTCTGGAGAACTTTGACAGCCGCTTTACTGCCACTTCTTCTCCATTGTCAAGCTTACCCTGGCAGAACATGGATATAAATGAATTTTTTCACATGTAATATGAACTACTGCAATATATCCAGACAGCCTATGATTCCATGAAATCTATGAACTTATGCCAAGAACAAGAGAGCATAATACAAGAACAATATAGGCAAAACATTGGCTAGTGAACATGCATAACAATCATTACCCTGAACACTTCACCAAATCCACCTTCTCCAAGTTTTCTATCATCTGAAAAACTATTGGTTGCAGTTCTTATTGTGCTCAAGTCGAATTTCAAGGATTCCACTTCAATATCATTGAACCCTGCAAAAACAATATTACATCAGTTGAATTTGCTATTAATGTTTGCTTCTAAGCAAAGGCATGACACAATATCTACAACGCAAAATCACAAACATGCTCATAATTCGATACCCTATTGTGACACAGGTCACTGATCAGTTACAAATACCAAATTAGTCATGCATGAACCTATGAATCTATGACTCAATGAGTTGTTGGATCTGAATTCATACCAACCCAAGCAACCAAAACGTAAGCATGCAACTGATTTTAGTAACCAATATGTTAAACCCAAGCTACATATAGTATTAGATGCTTTACATTTCCATCTCTCTAACTAGGGTGATTCCTTTACCAGCACCCTTTAGCTCTGCCTACGATGATCAATATAACAGCATGACACTTCTAGCAATATAGTCAGGCATAGTATCGTATCAGCAATAATATGAAGGAATTTGATTGAAGTTTTTTCACTCATTATTTTTTGCTCGAATAAGGATTTAGGTTGTCTCACCTGCAAGTTCCTTCTTGGACTTCCTCCTGCATACATAAAACAGAACTCCAAAGAAAATTATCAATGCTAAAACTGCTGCTGTGATAGTGCTTATCAGTATTGCCTTCTGCTTTCTTGTAGCTTTTGCAGGCTTTCCTGTTTCAAACCATATACAGATTGAGTTGATTAATCTAAAGACCAATACACTATCAAAGCTCAGCTCTACAACAGCAAAACAACTAAAACACATCATTTAACAAATTTCTGTAGAAAAGGTAACATTCAACTGATTGTCGGAGTAAAGGCAAATATACAGTAACAGCAATCTTTCAAAGCAGTCCAATTCTGCCGTAGAAAAAGGGCAAGTAAAGGCTCAAAAAGGGGCGAGAGATAACAAAATCCCCAATAAGTGATGCCCCCCCCCCCCCCCCCACTCTCAAATGCCCCATTAAAAAAAGGCTGACAAGTTAAATCTACTTTACAATCAAGTTTAACCCCTGGGCTCATAGAAACAAAAGTGAACGCTATTAAAACATATTTATGGCACTCAATTAATTCAGGTCGAAAACAAATAAGCACAAGAAGATGATTTGGATCTAGGGAGACTAAAACTTAGAATACTTCAATACCAAAATGGAAAGTTGACTTCAAAAAATTGTATCTAAAACCAGCTTAGCCTAAGAAGAAGATGTTGACTCACCATCATCACATTCTTTTCTGTTCGTAGGAGGTTCAGAGACCAAACCCAACAGAATATATAAGACAAGGTCACAAGGGATTCATATTCAGCACTTATTAATTCAGAACCTTATTCTTAACCACTATGATAATACACAATTAATCATCATCCATATAATAAATAAACAACTTTATTCAAAGTTTCTTACCTTTGATGGGAGCAAATAAAGGCTCTGTTGAATTTGCATCATCTCCATAAAAAGGGTATATGTCATATCTCATATTACAATTTGGACACATCAAAGTGCAACCAGCCTTAACGTTGCAGAGCTCTGAAGTATTTCCAATAACCATTTGAAGACAACGTCGACAATCTTTCAGAGATATATCAGGTGTGCATTCAACCAGTGTATAAAGAGTGTTCAAATTTGACAGGTTACCAACAAATCTAGCTTCTTTTGTTGCAAACTTTCTGTCTATTCGACCATCCGTTGCATTGATCGTAGCTTTCCACATAGTATCAAGCAAAACTTTCGTAAAAGCATCCATATTATTCGTAACATTCCAAATATCATGAGAATTCTGTCTGTTCCACATAGGAATCATAGGAGCATCACGCATAGTACCAAGAAAAGACTTATCAGAGTAATGAACCACACATTGATCATAATACCATACTGTTGACTCTTTCTTTCCTGGACACCGAACACCTATTGCATCCCTAGCCAAGGAAACACACTTCTTACAGGCGGCATCATTAACATCAAGACGACAGAAAAACAGGCCATAAACCTTATCGCGTCCACTACCAACACTCGTGTTGTAAAACCGGTTGGCACGGCTAGTGTTCGTAGCAAGGTAAGAAAGAACTCTATCAGTGTTGTTATGATATCTGCTATTAGAACCAACTGTGGTCATGTCAGGGCAAAGAGCATAAACATATGCTTGGGTTGCATCAGAAGCAGCCGCCGAGCAGCAACAGATAATCCACCCATTAAACAAAGTCACAATAATAAACAAGGATGACCAACGTAATCTAATGATATGTTCCATGTCTAAGATATGAAAGATATCTATGCAATAATACTATGATCTGAAACTATGAACAACATACATAGGGTGTGTGAATGTAGATGAGATAAGGGGTGTTAAACAATAAGAAACTCACTTACATACGTCAGAGTGAGCAGATATAGTAGTCCCTTGTGGGGCAAAGCCACATGTGACACTTAAATTGAGACCTTAGCTCCCTCCAACTTTGATTATTTCATCTACTTTGATTTTAAGAGTAAGTGAAAATTAGAAAATACCAGTTTATCAATATGATAAATAAAATTTGTTTATCAAATGGTAAAATTGTAAATAAATAGACAACTTTTTATTATATATGGGTCCCACTGTTGTTGATATATTTACGAAAATGACATGCTAACTGGACATTTATGTTGTTTTATTTACCATTTTGCCATTTGATAACGAAATTTTATTTATTAAATTGATTAACTGGGGCTTCTTCAGTGAAAACTGTATTTTTTTTTTCAATCAACTTGTTTTGCTCACCAAGAACCTTGTATACTTTCTAAGTTTCTTTTCCAACAATAACCTAAGAAGTATTGTTATTGTTAGCTACTCTGTATAATTTTAATATTGGCCGGTGTTTAAAACTAACAAGTAATATCGCTTTCATTCATTAAAAAAAAAAGTAATAGTACCATATTATTTCAACTTACAAATTAATATAGCTGATAGATAGTACTATCTTCATTTCAAAAAGTTATTAACAAATTATGTTTTTATTTTGTTTCACAAAAGTTATTACAAATTTACAACTCTCTATCCTATTTCTGGCAAAGTCATTACTTACTCCTCTTACCATAGTACCTCATAATATTTACACATTTTCATTCACACCCTCATACTTTCATGGTTTCACCCCATTAACCCTCTTTCCAATTGCCTTAATTTGTATGTACAAAGTAAATGTAAAAAACTTTCAGAACCGAATGCAGTATATTCGTGACGAAAAAAATTACTTCCTCCGTTCTATTAATATTGTAACAATAGACTTTTTACACTATTTATTACTATTGTTTGACCATATAATATGATTTATACGTTAAACAAAATATAGTCATGTGGGATCTTGTTAGTTTCGTCTTTCACAATATCAACTTCTTATAATTTTTACTCTTACACAATTATAGAAATTTAACATATACAATGTGCGTTAGAATGCGTAATTTCATTCTTGTTGCAATATTATTGAAACGAAAAAAGTATTAAATAAGAATAAAAAAAAAATTGTCCAAGTATATATGAACGCCGGAATATTTATAAAGAAACTAAACTATATATATTAAGAAAATTAATATGGCCAACAAAAGGACACCATGTGGTATGCATCCTGATCCACAAGTGAATTGGATATGCAACAACATAAAGTCAGACTCAATAAATCCTCTCTAGCAGCTTTTAAGGCCTAAAAGGCAGAGAAAAACGAATCTATAAATTTAGAGAGTGGGTGCATTAAATCCTCATATGGTTGGGCATATAGTAATATGTTTGATACATAACTAACACAAGTTCAATCGGTGGGATCATGTATTAGTTTTCAGCACCTAAATGTGAAGGGTGAATTCTACTGTTATGTGGCAACTTTTTCAATCTACTATAAAAGACAAACTCTTTCTTTCTTTCATGTGCAGTTGTTTTCAGAATTACTTGTAGTTGTACCTTCGTTTTTTTTTCATCTAAGACAAAAAACAGGCGTGTGCCGAAAGTCCATACCAACTAAAAGCAAAATCATACTCAATCCTGATTTCAAAAGTTAAAATTTGTAAACTTTGACTAATAATAATTGTATAAAAAAGTACATTGATCAAAGCTAGTGCGTTTTTTTACCGTCCAACTTAGTTTTAGGGTTATCCAAAATAAGATTGTTTCGATCAATCTTACGTATATTAAGTTGATCAATAATGAAATTCATTTTGACCCATACATAACAATGCTAGACAGCATAGATTTGATATTCCAACAAAAATTAAGTATGCCACACACACAAAAAAAATTATATATCCTTAACATTTAAACAGTCTCATTCATACATCTTATAGACTCACTGGAAACACGGATTATAAGCTGGCCATATTATAAATTGTACAGGACACGGATTATAATAAAGTAAACGCGTAAGCAATAAAGGTTGAGGAAAATCATACCAGATTCAACTTTCATTAAGACTTGATGAGCATCTCCATCAGCCAGCTTAAGGCTTTAATCATATAGGTTGTATGATTAAGCATTTAGTTGATTTTTGGAAGCACTTAGCCACTTCTTCTACTCGAAAGCGACATCTAAAAGTTAAATCAGGCAGCCAACTTATTAGGCTTATTTAGACCTGGCTCCACCATACAACAACATCAAGGGTGGTCACGGCTCATGAATATCAGCATTATATCCTACTTTTAACCAACTCCCTTGCCATCCTCTTAATTAGGCTCATCAAATTTGATGAGTACAATGCCACTACATAGATGTGTTTGATCCGATCTTCCTAAGTTAGCTTCACTTAGACTTTTTTCACAAGGCGGCCCCATAAAATCTTCTAAAGATAGTAACAATACTTGGGATTTCAACCTTACTAATCTGATCTTGTCCATCCCTTAAAGCACCAACAACTCATTAAATTGGTCTCGAGTTCAAACCTTGTCAATGTAACCGTATTGTCATCAAGGAAGAAATAGTTTGAATCCAAATTAGTCAGAATCTAATAGCACTGTCACCGGCAAGGTACACTTCAAATCTACATTAGTCGGAGTCTATATATACCCTTAAAAATAGCAAGAAGCACATTTCTAAACAAATGACATAAACCCATTTTAGATTTCTGCTAAAACATTATTCTCCAAGTAGGTACAGCCGTATAGCATCATGTATCCCATACATGGGCGGAGCTAGAAGGGGACATGTGGGGACACTTGTCCCCCCAATTTCAAAAAAAAAAATTTAAAAAAAAAAAAAAAATTTAAAAAAAAAAAAAATTTAAAAAAAAAAAATGCAATTACAGATTTACAGTGCTGAGTGCTCTGTTGCGACATTTGCCAGCCAAACCCTAAGTTTTTCAATTTTCAATTTCTCTCTCTTCGATTCGCCCTCGCCTGTCGCCTAGCCGGCTCGCCGTGACGCCGTCCACCGTTCGCCGGCAGTTCGCAGCAGTGACGAGGTTCAACAGCCGCCCTTGAGCCTTTGTCCTTCGTGACTTCGTGTCTTCGTGACTTCGTCATATGCATAAGCATAACACATTTGCTGTAAATCTGGATTTCAATGGAGGTATGAATCAATGAATGTATGATTAATTGAATAATTGATTACTTGTTTTGTTGTTTAAATGTTTAATTGTTTAAATTTACAGTAAATCTGAAATTCTGAATTTCATATTTTTATTACTTGTTTAAATGTTTAATTGTTTATATTTTTATTGTGAATTTGTCATTTGTGGCCTTGTGGGTATTGATTATTGAATAATTTGAATTGATAAATGATTATTGATTTATATTTGTTTGATTGTTTCCCCTGTTAGAGTTTTTGGTTGTTTTTGTGAAATGTGAATTTAAATTATTAATTATTGTAAATTATTGAAATGTGTAGTTGAATTAGAAATTTAAAATCTTAGCCTCTTAGGTTTTGTTATTATGTAATGATGTGGATTGTGGTCTTGTGGAAATTGATATATAATTTTCAATTTAACTAGGAAATATCAAAAGATTCACCAAATTCAAACAAATCAAAGGCAACTAAACAACCCGATCTTCGACAATTCTTGTTTAAAAGAACGAGACTCAATGAAAATGAGTCCAATAACTCACCTTCAGTTAGCTCCCCTCAAAGTCAAGAAAATAGTATGGAAATGGGTGGTTCAAGTAATAGTAATGTACCATTAGAGGAAGATTTGGTGTATGATGTTGAACTTCTTCCTCATGATCCGGGAAAAAGAATAAACATTATGGATTACCCCGCAAATGAACGAAATGCTGTTAGGAGGGGTTATATTCTTAAAAAACCTTGCCAACCAAAAACTCATGTCTTCCCTACAAGACAAGTGTCTGGTTTGCGTCGCTTTAGTGTTCATTGGTTCAACAAATGGGATTGGCTTGAATATAGTATTGAAAAAGGTGCTGCATTTTGTTTTGTATGTTACTTGTTCAAGAATGAAGTTGGTATTAAACCGGGGGGTGATGCATTTGTTGATGGAGGGTTTAGGGCATGGAATAAACCGGAAAGATTTGAGAAGCATGTTGGTGGAATTAAAAGTGCTCATAATCTTGCTTATGAGAAATATGTGAATTTAAGAGATGAAAAAAAGAAATCAATCTTGAATGTGATTGACAATGCAAGTGATGTGATTAAAAGTGAATATTTTATCCGCTTGAAAGCATCTTTATCTTGTTTAAGATTTCTTTTGGGGCAAGGTTTGGCATTTCGTGGACATGATGAAAGTGGGGAGTCATATAATAGGGGTAATTTCCTTGAGCTTTTGAAGTGGTTAGGAGAAAAGGTTGAGGAAGTAAGGATACATACTCTTGAAAATGCACCTAAAAATTGTCAAATGACTTCCCCTCCTATTCAAAAGGACATTATTAACTGTTGTGCCAAAGAAACAACTAGGTGCATAATAGAAGAAGTTGGTGATGATTACTTTGCTATATTGGCCGATGAGTCAAGTGATGTGTCCCAAAAAGAACAACTAGCTCTTGTTTTGCGTTTTGTTGATAGAGATAGTGGAAAGGTAATGGAGCGATTTTTAGGCATTGTTCATGTTGCTAATACTACCGCTTTAACTCTTAAAGATGCAATCATGTCTTTACTTGTTGAACATTCATTGAGCCCATCTATGATAAGAGGGCAAGGGTATGATGGAGCTAGCAACATGAAGGGTGAAATAAATGGCCTTAAGACTTTGATTATGAATGATACTCCAAGTGCCTACTATATACATTGTTTTGCTCATCAACTTCAACTAACATTAGTTGCCGTTGCTAAAAAGAATGATAGTTGTGGTTGGCTTTTCGAGATACTTGGAAATTTGTTGAATGTGGTTGGAGTTTCTTGCAAGAGAAGAGAAATGATTCGTCAAGATCAAGCTCAAGAAGTTGCTCGAGCCTTGGATGTTGGGGATATTGTGAGTGGATCGGGTTTAAATCAAGAACTTGGTTTGAGTAGGCCCGGGGATACTCGTTGGAGTTCTCATT